GAACAGAGCGGCGGGCTGAAGATCAGGAGATCAAGATCGATGCACGCAGGAGAGGGATTCTGAGTGCGGCGAGTGGTGCGTTAACAAGCTCCGACGACTTCGCTGTCTGCTCTTGGACACGGTTCCTGACATGACCACCACCCTGACGGCAGGGCTTCAAGAATCACTTACAAGGCGACAATCAACAGGCTGGGTTCGACGGACTTGATTGCCTGCTAACATACAATCGACATAGAGTCAAAAGACCAACTGGGGGTCCAACGCTCTGCTCTTTCGTGTGACGGTGCGTTAGTGCCGCTCCTCCTCCCTCCTAAAACTCCATCGCTGTATCTTAGCGAAGCTGTGACACCTTTATCCCGTGTCCGTGCGCTCCTACTGCCCTCAACCAGAGTAGGGCGGAGGTGGGGCGGAGGGCACCGCCCCCGGACAGGCTTCGCTGAGCATCTGCACGACATGCGGAGTAAGAATCGGCCCATCGATGGCGTGCACGACGACACCCGAAGCGGTCACGACGTTGGACCCATCCGGTAAGATCTGCGCATCATCCACGAAGATGCCTGTATTCGCGCCAGGGTACCTTGATGCGGCTTGGCGGATAACGACGGCGCTGGAGTCTCCTCCCGCCAACGTGGGTTGCATGAACTTGCCATTCGGCGACTGGCTGACCTTCGTCGTCAGCGCGTCGATCTGCAGACTCCCGGGAATCGCGTGAGATAGCAAGAAAGCCGTCACAATCTCCTTGGCTCGAGGTGATTGCCGTAGACATTGGGTGACGGACTCCGGCGCAGCAAGCAGCGAGTCGTCGGTGGGTGCGAAGATGGTCACCCCTTCAGGCTTTTGACGCTGACTCTCCATCGCTTGCAGAGCATTCGGGAAGGATCGCAAATCCTCAGCGAAAACACCCAAATCCTTACGTGCCGTGGATCCCTCGATCAAATCAGGAATAGACTGCTGACCCTGTTGCGCCATAACCGGCTGCGCCACCAGCCAGGATGCGGCTAGGAACATCGCGAAGAGGAAGACAGCAGCGAAAGCCATCTCTCTGTCGCCAACAAAATCCCCTTATTACTCGTCGTGGTCTTCGTCCTTCTTTCCCCTGCCTAACTCAAGTTAGGCTCTAGAGTCTAGACTCTTGCTGGCCCGTCAGCAACCCACGCTGCGATGCTCTCACGGATACTTCTCCAATCCACTCGGCGTGTAAGCACCAACCTCACCCCACCCTCAATGGTTAATCTCCTTCTCTGCAAGCCCCCTCTCCGCCTCTTGCTTAATCTTCCTCTCCGTGATTAGTACCTCCGACCCCCTCTCCCTCTCTTGCTTATTCTTCTTCTCTGCTAGCCCCCTCTCCGCCACTTCCTCCAATCACACTTGGTAGTCTCTCACTCGTTCAACTACAAGTACTGCTTCGCTAAAGGCAAATGTCTCACGTACATACATACTGCATCGATAATCTGGGCAGGTCTTTATATAAGATTGGTCTCCTTAGCTGTGTGTCCTGTAGTGTAGTGGATGGAGGGAGTATCCACGCGTCGTAGATCGACTGGTCAGAGATCTACATGCATTCGGACGCCTTTCTAGATGAAGTGCAATCGGAAGAGTCCGAATCGACTGTATAGCCACGATTATGACCTCTCCAGCTCCAGATCCAGATACATATAGTGTGCCTGTAGTGGAGCGGGGTCCATGGAATGAAAGGATTGATGTAGCCCTGTTGTAGTTTGGGTG